TCCAATACATCAAGAGAGCCCTCCTTCACATCAGGAGCCCCTGTTTACACCCTAGACCCCCTTTCATATCAGAGTCCCTGCATGTATCATGTAAATGTATTTTTCTGACAATGCCTAAATCTGCTTTTCTCTCCCAAAGGACAGAGCCATCTCTGCTCCGGCTTCATCCAGGGTCACCATCTACTTTCTGGACTGAAATCCCAGCTCAGGGATGGAATAATTAAGTAGAACCTAATATCTGTACAATTTTTTGGCTGTGTTCACAAATGTCTGACACAGATCAGCTCCTGTTGCAGGGTCTCACCTTGTGACTTGCTACAAAGTTACAACGTACAGTCTGATCACAGCGGAGTGGAGACTGAGGAAATCTTTCCAACTGCCTGCAACAGAGTGAATACATCATCTTAGGCTAGGCAGAGTCACCGGACTGGAGCTCAAGGACGTTTTTTTTTTAGAAGGTGCGGGTTTTTAAAAAATTACACTATTGCCGTATGTTATGAAATGCAAGTTACTGGATGGTCTGCATTCTGCTGAAAGGAGTCCCTTTTTCCCAATCCCAGAAATATGACTGCAGGTTGAAAAGTCTTATCTCTAGTGCAGCCAGCATAGGGGAAATCACAACAGTCCACGCATCATTGTGCAAATCTTTTGGCAGGAAAAAACGTTCCTTTAATGTATTTCGAGTCCAATGGTGTCATTAGCCGTTTGGCTGCATTTAAATATGTCGGCAGAAGTCTATTGTAAGCCCCACCACCTCTTGTTGCCTCATCGCCCCTCTATTCCTCCACCAGAGACAAGCGGCTTCATTGTTCAGCCATTGTATTGGCTTTGGGCGATGATCCCCGTACATGAAAATGGATGACTCCTATTCAGCACAATGATAAGCTCATGCGGGACTTCCCGTCACCTCGTCAATGGAAGCGCTTCACAAGATTACAAGTGTGATGGCAGCTGTTCTGTCATTTCCCAGAAAGACCTCGGTGCTGCCACAAGTGTCCATCATGTTTCTCATTTTCCTGGATAGCAGCAAATATTGATATGCCAGCATCTGCTGCGCTGGCAGTTACAATGTACACTGAGTGGCCAGATTATTATGACCACACCATCAGTACTTCGTTGGGCCGCCTCGTGACTCCACGAGATGATGAAAGGTGATGCGAGGAATCTGACACGGCACTGTTGCCCTTCTGTTGTCTTGTACCAGTCTTGCCCCTCTCCATTCTGCCCTAACATTGACTAGTCGCTGACGGCCACAATTCGCACGTTCAGACCCAGATTTTCGGCTGACAGTCCGGTCTTTAAACACTTTAACAACAGCTGCTCTTGAACATTTAACGAATTCTGCTGTTTTGCTGATACTCGCTCCATGGCTCCGAGCGCCAACAATCATCTCACGTTCAAAGGCTGTTAAATCGCGTT